CTGTAAATAATTGACAGATAATATTAATTGGCTTTGGATTAGTGAGCAAGCAGAGGATCACACATTAATATTTGATCAGAAGATGATAGCAGCCCTGGCAGGGGATCCAAGGGGGGCAGCTGAGGCTGCTATGTTGATGAGCACAAGGAAGGACTTGGCAAGGCACTCCCATTACCCTCCTCCAGAAATATAAAAAAGAAAAATTTTAAAGACCTGATGCTACTGTTAACTTTAGACTATTACCTAATGCAAAAATCTTGCCAGCTGCAAATTGCCTTCAATATATTTTTCCGGAGAAAATGAGTCTTAAACCTGCTTGACTTTTCTTCTCTAATCAGAAACCTCCTTTTCATAGTTGCAGATGTGTGCTTGATAAACCACCTTAAGCACCAGTTTCACACTGGGGAGAGAGCGGGAGTGAGTGAAGAATTCTTTCAAGGAACAAATGCAAAACTCACCGCTTTTACAAATAAAATAGATCCTTCCCCATATGCTTAAGAATTCTTTGAAAATGCAGATAAAAGTTTTCTTCAAAACAATCAATGCTTTGGGCTTGTCAGTGTAAACAAAATATATGAGAAATTATGTTCCATCTGATATATTTAGACTTGCTCAGAAACTATAAAAATACAAAGGTGAAAATACCTTTCATGACCATCTATTTAAAATGGAATTACTAAAGGGACCACTTTATTCTTCAATTATAATTGCAAGATAATCCAATGCCATCTTCTCTAAGTCAATACAGAAGTGAACTAATTAAAAGCTATTAGCACTTCACTTACTATTGATTACAAAAACATTCAACCTTTTCTAATAAGAAAAAGATTTGATTCCTCAGAGCCACATTAAGGGGAGTGATCAGAATAATATCTATTTGAGAAATCATATATCAATTCAAAAGGCTTATGGAAAAGCACAGTATGTGAGGGTTTCCCCTCTAACAGTGATCACAATATATACTATTCACTTTTCATAGCTATCTTTAAAAACCACACTAAAACACTAATTTACTTCTCTGTACAAGTGAATCCATGTAAAAGTTAAAACTCTCCAAATCACAATACAGAAATGCAGTTCATTGTTCTTTCGTGAAGAATCAAGAAGAGAAAACACTAAGGGCCTGTTCACATACTACATTTAAATCCTAGAAATACCAGTTTTCAAGTCATTGAAGCCCATGGATGTTACTCATTAAAACCCAAGGCTAGCCAGCAAAAGCAGGGATATTCAAAAGGTCACACCAAAAGTAGCACTTCCCAAAATGGGTGGTGCAAAAACGGAGAAACTATCTGCAAACCAGTTTAGCTCTAGAGGCGTCTTCTGGTTGGCTTAAAAACTGGGGATCAATTTCCTTACCCTCATCTTCAGCTACTGGGAAGGGACCAATGATGTGTCTAAGACTGTGACTAGTAGAATTCTGGAGTAATGTCCCGCAGTACCAACTCAGGGCTGCCTAGTGGGCCAAAGGAAGAAGCTGCTGCCTGTATTTAGCCTGAGGGCTAAAACCACACAAGGACTCAGGGCTGGTGAGACCGAGGCCAGAGGGTGCCAACAGTGTGGTAGGAAAAGTACTAGGCCTACAGAAAAGAATTTGCCAGCAGGATACAAAGGAGGGCAGCCTGTTGCCCAACAAACCTCTAAAGTATGCAATGGGGTTGGGAGGGTGAAGGGAGAGTGAAGGAAGGGGAATAAGGAAGCTGGGAAAAGAGGGCAATGGCTATAATTCCTAAAACATATATAAGTAACTTAAAATTTGGCCCAGAGACCAAAAAAAGGCAACTCTAAGCCACTGAGAAACATAAAAAAACAGAGGTTGGGAAAGCCACAAAATCACCTAAGCCTTATTTAACTTTTTCTTCCAATTGACACGTGGTTAAATGCTTATTCTTCAACTAGAAAACTTCATACAGAAATAACTCACATATAAATCTTTAATATCATGCTCTCTTTCTTGCAGTAGTTTGTGTTTCTTGGGAAGCATCACACTGGTGAAAATAAAACCAAAGACTATTTTTCTATTGCCATTTTGTGAAGGGATAAGGGTCTGAAACCAAAATGTGTAGTATGTTCTTCAATTTAAATAAATAAGTTTCTTATATATAGGTGAGAGAAGGTTCTTAAATCTATTTAGTTTATTACATTAAGAAATCATATTATAAGAAAATATATTTTAAAAATATATTTCATTCATACACACAACACAATAAAATTGAAAAAGAGAAGGAAAATGGATGGAAAAAAAAAATCAACCTATCTTAACACACTGAAGGTAAAGATGACCATAGAATTCCAAGATGGAGGCCATTCAAAACCGTATCATCTTAAACACTGCCTGTATGGTAGGCAACTTAAACACCATCAGTTAAATCCTTCAACTGTCCGTAGGCTATCCTTAAAATGAGATTCCCAGATTTTAACAGAATAATGTTCCAAGATAATACATGCATTATGATTTACTATGCTTCAAGCATAAAACTTTTAATTGCTTTTCGTTAAGGCCCCTGATGTTTACAAAAAATAAACTTCATGGGTCCTTAACATTCTTTAAAGCAATATGGTACTTAAAAAAAAAAAAAAGAAAAAGAAAAAAGCAACGCTTTTCAAAACCAAAGTCCAACCTATAAAGTTCCACTCAATTAGCTCAAAGATCCAGTCTGATAGTCAAAAACTATGAAAGCCATTTTATAAAAATTAACACAAAAACTGCAAATAATTTCTTTGAATTTTCTTAAACTGTCTATTTTATACAGGAGGTTGAAATCCTTTTTTTTCACATTGAGTCAATCACCATGCCATAATGTCACCAAAATATCGACATTGGAAACATCTGAGTTAAAAAGGTCCAAATACAATCTGCTTTTCTCAAGCAACACAACACCCGCCTTACTAACAGTTTCAGCATGGCACATGTACAAAATCTAGCACCCTGCAGTTAAGCAAACCGCCTTTAAATTTTCTGTCTGGCAGCAATCCACTTGCGTGTCTGTATGTTTTTACAAGTACTCTATGTATTTCATTGCGTCAGCTGCATTTCTTTGAGTTTTAAATGGTCTGGGAACATTTTATGAAATGTTCTATATCTTTATATGGAAAATAACATACACTGGAAAACTGTGCATCGGTCTAATATTTATATATCTATTTCATTATCCACCATCCAGTGCTATAATTGCTAATGTTCCAAAACACCTTCTCGCATTCATAAGCTCACCACCAAATGCAGTGTCACCAAACAGCTAACTTTCAACACAAAAAAATCTGCAGATAAGAGTACTACCATGGAAAAAAGTAACATAACTTGCTTAGGCAATTGGCAGTCAGAATAGAGTTATCGGCATATGTCAAGCTTTTTCACTAAGAATTGTCCCTCTGACAGAAAATTAAGAGCATAATACAGTGGTACATAGCACACTCTTTTTTTCTCATCCTCCTCTTTCAGCAACTTTCTCCTGATTTAAGAAATAGAGCCTTACAAACTTAAAAATCAATTTCATCACCTCCCAGGAAAATATTTTAAAAAAAACAATTGTATTTCAAATATCTTGCCAACAGTATGTATAGTTCGAAAGAGTTCACACATCTCTTAACCAACCTAGGCCTAAAAGAGGCAGTTAGTTCTCAAACGAGGTTTCACATCATGTCAATGTGATGTCCCAGCACCATGGCTCTCTAAGAGGCTGTCTGCACAGAAACACGCGTGCACCACTTTCTCTGAAGACCACAAGAAGCATTTCTGTATTTAAAACAGACATTTCCCAGTACAGGACCCCCAACAACACATTCTCATCCAGGCACAGAACATGACCATATTTAAAAGGCTATGTCTCCACAGCAGGAAAAAATTGATTTCCAAAACAAACATGTCTTACTTTGTTTCTTTTTTTAAAGAAAGGCTAATTTTCTTCAATCTCAATAGTCTATGTTTTCTAGTCTTCTACTATACATATTTTTAAATCTTTAAGATATACCAGATTGCCACAGGATGTTTAATTAATAGAATAAGAGTGTGGGCAAGACTTAGTGGAAAGGTGCTATAAATTATTTTACTCAGGCTCCAAAAACCTTGAGTTCTGCCTTAGGCTTAAAGTTCCTAGAAAACGTGGTAGACAGATCTTTTACAACAGAAATGCAAAATAATTCATAAAAGTACTGTGGTTATGTATGAGGGCTCATTTGTACATCAGTAACTAGTATGTGTGTACACACACACACACACACACACACACACACACACACAGATCTTACCAAATTATTTTCCTGTTTCCCTGTCACACCAATGACTCCATTTGAGGAGTCAAAGTATGACATATTTTTAAACTGATTATTAAAAAATACACTGACTTCATTTTGCATGAAACGTGTAACAACTTCATGTGTACTAACCAAATGTCATTATCTTCTATATCTGGAGCTCTTTTAGGTAATTTAAGAGAAACTGCAAATGTAGCAGTTAACACGGGAATCTACACTGCTTTCACTTTTAAAATGCTAGGTATCAAGGCAGAAAACATTACATTTAATGCCTACTGAATTCATCCAATCATTATCTCTAGGATATTTCAGTCAATAAGAGATAAAATAATAAACAAATTTAAAGCTTACAATTACAAAATCAGCCCTTTAAAAAGCGGGACTTTAACATCAGCTACAAACGATAAAATCTCATTGTTCAATTTCATGGAGTTTAAGATACTATCTTCTTCTCCTCACAACCATAAATGTTAATCCAAGCTGTAATCAGATTTAATTTTCCAGATGAGAAGATGGGAATATGCTACAAATGGGATAATAGTCCACTACCCTGCTCTTTCACTAATGATGTTTTCAAATTTTGCACACTAAACATGTAGACTCCCAGAAAATAGTCTAACAAGTTGTACATTTTGAGGACAAACTCAGTCTTTCCCAAAACACACTCAGAAATAAGGTTTCTTTTAATCTTCAAGAAGAAAAGTTAATTTTTTTTGCATAATGCAGAATTAAAGTTTCTTGATAGT